GATCATTTAAGTTTACAGAGTTTGAATTGCCGTAACTGTTACTAAGGGGAGATGTTTGCAGATATGTATTAAACATTAGATATTTGTCTATACAGTCTCTCTGAGTTGTTTATTTTACATCAAAATTTTGTTAGTGCTATAGCTATAACTGTCTTTGCCAGCATCTATCCATCTGCATCAATTTGCTAAGCTTAGCTTCCATCTGTATAATGTATTCGTATGTGTTCTTCTCACTTATTTTCCTTTTCGTCAATGCCCTCATCTGTGTATTTATGCATTTGTTTGTTCATCCAGATAAGTGGCTTTCCTTCAGTCTGCCTTGTTTTCATTCATTTGTCTTTTGTGTTAAAGCCATAATGATGATCTGATGTGGTCATTCTCTTCTGTTTTCTGTTATGGTGTTTCTGTTTGTGCTCTCCATATTGATTGCGTACCCTTTGCAACAACTATGTGGTGTATTACTAAATCCCCCCCCCCCCATGTGTTTAAGATCCCAGGACAACCCTCCAACCCAGAAGCAGTATGACTATGTTTGTCAATTATCTTTTAGACAAAAAAGAGTACACATTACAAAAAATGCCATGTAAAATATAATATCATACTATGCCCAATATGATATTATTTTCTGATGAGCCACAGTGTTCTTTCAGAAAGTGGGTCCATATCGTTCATGGTTTCAGACTTACCTTGTTTTCAAACGGAAAAGAAAGAGAATACATGTAGATATGTTTGTGTTTAATACTGTACAGGACATTATTCTTAACGTTCGTATGTTGATATGGGGATAACATAAGGCCCCTTTTCGGTGCAGTTTGTCTACTAAGTAGCTGCTTATTGTATCAGATAGCTATTTTGTCCTTTACAAAGGTGTGACTTGTTGTAATAGTAATAGTATGTTGACCTAAGGATTGAATCCACCATTTCCATACGGTTATGACTTAATTCTTGTATCAAAAGGAGGTGTCACAGTAGAGAATAAAAGTCGTTTTGTTATAGCGAGAAACGTCTGATTAAGTTGACAATTTGGAAAAAAACAAACCTCCGTCGTAGGCCAAATTGCTTGAAGACTGTAGGGCCACTCTCTGAGTATGTTTTACTTCCGTATTTTAAGAAGTCAAGCAAGAGACTGGAAGTGGAAGCTAGGTAGGTTTGAACTCCGTTCCAGAAGACATGGGGGCTCAACAGGAAACCTCCAGGCGAGATAGACCAACAATTAGAGGACCAGGTCTCCAGAAAACCCCCAGTAAAAGAACACTTGTCATCGTTTTCTTTAATCTGAAAAAGAAAGCACCCAACAAGGTGTTGAAGCTAAGACAAAGAAAGATCAAACTTTAAAAAGTTAATGTTCAGACAGTGTGGCGTGGCCATTTAACGGTAGATCTCCAGATGAAAATGAAGCTTCCAGCACAATTAATTTAAGGAAAAAAAAACCAGAAGTACAAGTACAAGTAATACGTGATACATGTATATGTTGGATTAGAATCATCAGATGACGTGCTCCACAAGTTGGACTTATTACCTATTTTCACTATGAGCTTAATTTTAAGCCTATAATAATCATACAACATCCTGGTAACGACCACGAATTCGAGCTATATACTATTTACAGGCTATGGACGCCTTTTTGAGTTTAACAAAGTGTATACGACGACTGTAAACTTCGAATTCCAACACGGATAAAACATTAATTAAAGATGCGATGACAAGGATGCGGAGTGTGGAGACATGTGAGAAGTAGACGACTTAATAGGCCTACCATCTTCCCAGCATACCGTTAGTTCAGCAGGTGATCTACTGGACTACAGTGCTGATGACACTGGTTCAAATCCTCATCAGGACACTTTTGAACCTAAATTGTTTGAGAAATTTCATTTGTCTGCGCCCATTTGGCCTGGGCCTACCAGATACGACGCTTAGACGGAATTAAGACACTCTGCAGTGTCGAAAGGGAAGCCGTTATAATACAATGCACAATTTCTATGGGGTCAAACATATAGACAGTAGATATAGTGAGACCGAAACCTGAGCTTGCACGCAATACAAAAAAGAACGCCTTTGTGCTGTGGCGTGGTGTCCCTGTGTCGTGTTTGCCGCTGACACACTTGGAAAACTACTCACCATAAGAACACGCTGGCTCTAGCACAACGGAGCAAAGACCGCCGCGGACCAGTGAGACTTTACGTCTTGATAATAGTGGTGGTGGTGGTGATGATGGTGGTGGTGGTGGTGGTGGTGTTGATGATGATGATGATGGTGGTGGTGGTGGTGTTGATGATGATGATGATGATGATGGTGGTGGTGGTGGTGTTGATGATGATGATGATGATGACGATGAGGATGATGATGATTTTTTTGGTTTCCTTAATGGGCCTGGTGGACTTCACGAAGGTGCTGTTACTTAGCTCTGATTGGTGGGTCTCTGATTTCCCTCTTGATTATTGGAAAGACTCCTCTGTATGTCGTTGGTCGTCCGTCTCCTTCAATCTCCCTGGCTTCATTGGCAGCTTGGTCGCTGCCTCATTTCCTTCGATTCCAACATGGCTTGGAATCCGCTGACTTTTTGTTATTGTGGCTGTCGTTTCACAGAACGTGCAGCGCAAATCATTTATGTTTGAGCTGTGGCCTAGCAGTCCCTTGCATAGGGACTGCATGACTGTCAGTCAAGATCAGCACATTGGTTCTACTGTGGTAATTGTCAGCAATCCATTGAGCCCTAAAAATAAAACAACTTCTTTTAGAATACACCGACACAAACACCCCCCCC